AAGTGCCAGTGCCTCTTGCCAACTGCTTGGTTGTTCTATGGACAACTGCTCTTGGGCATATTCAAAATATTCCTGATGGACATTTTTTTCTGGTTTCATGACTAGATGCTGCAACACATGATCCATTTCAGTAGATGGAACTTCCAGTTTGAGGTTTGGATCTGCTCCATGAAGTTCAGGACAGAAGAAAAGTGAATCTGGGCGTACAGGTTTAGTGTTATGCCTTGATTGGCATATCCTATGACTATTCCAATGATCTGTTACATAATCAAGTTGTTTCTGGATGACTCTGTGAAAGCAAAACCATAAACATTCCATATCAAGCTCAGATGAAGTGTCAATTATCCCTTGAAATTCCAAATCTGTGAAAAACCTTCTCCACCATGCAGAATGGCTTTTTGCAAAGTATGACCACCATCCTTCCATACTTTGATTACGGGGTGATGCTACATATCTGTGTGCAGCAAAATCATCACGAAAAAAATTCTGAATTGATGCAGATAATCCATTTTCTGTACCTAAATCTGTTACTAAGTGTACTGGGCAGCCTCCAACAGCAGAAATGGCCTCAACAAAAAAAAAAAAATGCAATGTTGTCTGGAGAATTGTTGGACCTTGCAACCTTGAGCCACAATATCTTTCTACTGAATCCGTCAATTCCACCATGAATCGGGAATCCCCATTGTTTTAATTTGTCGTATCCATCCAYGTGCCAGGCATAGTTTGGTCCAGGATTGTTGTATGTTCTCCTTTTCAAACGATTTTTTTTCCTTTTTTCAGTTCCTTCTGGATCCATCTCTTTCAGCAAATCCTGTACAACTTTTCTTGGTACCAGGATACCTTCCATTCTCAATGTGTGCCATATTGCTCTATAGCCCATAGATGACGAAGGGCCTTTGATCAGCTCACTTATGCGTTCTCGGACCTTTGCAAATGTCTCATTGAATCCTTCTTTATCGGTAATACCACGCCTCGACAGCCCATATTGTTTAAGTCTCCTTATCAGTGTACATCGACTTATGGGATGCTGATGACGCTCACAAAGAAAATGCAGGATTTCTTTATATTCGAATCCAAGACGAAAGTAATATGTAATAACCTCTTCTTCGTTTAATAACTCTTCTTCTTCTTCATCATCAGTGCTCGAAATGTCTGCACGTGTATTGTCGTCATCTAACTGACCAGTAGACGCTGAAATAGCAGTCAAAAACACGTTTACAACTAGCAAATATATAGATAAATAAAAATTAATGATCTCACTTACCTTGGGTACAAAATCTACACATATTCGCTTGCGAAAGTAATAAGGAACCACAACCTTGGCAGGATCCACTCGAACCAGACGCCATTTTTATTTACAACATCAAAACCGCTGACAAATTGCTCGCGGTATAAAAATCAACAGGGAACCCAATACGTCGTTGCTTTTACTGTATTCTGCCGTGGCTTTCTTTGTTCTGCCGTGGCTTTCTTTATTCTGCCGTGAGTTTAGTTTATTTTGCCGTGGCTTTCTTTATTCTGCCGTGAGTTTAGTTTATTTTGCCGTGGCTTTCTTTATTCTGCCGTGAGTTAAGTTTATTCTGCCGTGAATTTATTGCCTTTTGCCGTGAGTTTAGTTCGTTTTGCCGTGAGTTTAGTTCGTTTTGCCGTGAGTTTAGTTTGTTTTGCCGTGAGTTTTTGTTTTGCCGTGAGATTACCGCCACATCGAATTCACGGAATCAACGGAATCAACGGAATCAACGGAATCAACGGAATCTCTTTGAAACATATGGAAGTCAAACATCATTAAAATAAAGACAAATCAAATTAAAAGAAAAAGTTAAGAACTTCGTGCTCGGT